ATATATTCATGATCATCACACAACACACACACACACATATATATGTATATATATATATATATATATATGCATACACACACATACATACATACATACATACATACATACATACATACATACATACATACATACGTACATATATATACATATATATATATACTAAAATAACTATTTAAAACGCACCTCTTTGCCGTAACGCTTATTCAAGAGGTATTCGCATACACTCTTCTCCTTTGCTTGTTGGCCCTGAGTGGCTTGCTGGGGTGTGTCCATGCGACACACAGCCAGTATCTCCTCCTCTACCCATGTGTGGAATTTGTTAATCTCATTGCATTGCCTAGCTTCGAGATCAGCGCGTTGCTTCTCTTGTGATATTAATAGCTTGCTTATCTCCACAGCTTCCTCCCCATCCCCTTTTTGACTACCTCGTGCACTCATAGTTGTATTGATCTTTACTTATAAATTGTTTCCTTATGTTATCATACACAGATTTTCGAAAACAGCTCTATTCCCAGTGTTCACTAGTAATTATATATTACAACCTCTGAAATTGAACATATTATATACTTGCATGCTGTCATATCCACCCGATGTGTGCGATGTGCGAACAAGTTGTAAAAAGACTACACAATGTTTATGGAGTCACGAATTTTCATATTGGCGTCATGTGATGTGTTTTTTTCCAATATTGTTTTTGTTCTATAAAAATATTCATCGCCTACTGAAAATAGAACAAATTTCAGACGGCTATGAAATACAGTTTTTTCAACAAAATAGCTGTAGTTGATTTTTGTTGTTTTTTTTAAACAAATAAACAAAAACCACAAATATAAACAAAGTTTGCACAGGACATATTTTTTCAAGAATCCAATCCCAGAGAGGCTATTATTCTTTGAAGACCACATCTCACAGACAGAAGTAAATATAACCATATCACACGCTAACCGGTAGGTCTGTCGTGATGGTCGAGTACTATCTCCTTCTACATAAGCTTACAAACTACTTGTACGTTGACAAGGTATGTACCTCGGATGTGCATGAGTGTATGCGATAGTATATTTGTATTCTCGATATATGATATATATATATTATATTCTCACTTAATATAATGTTTGATAAGTAATGCTATTAACAAGCGCGTTGTATGTGTATTACACGTATATTAATTAATGTAGGAAAGTATATATATATATATATATATATATATATATGTGTGTGTGTGTGTGTGTG